CGTACATTGTTGGTCTCATGGTTTATATCTGAGTCAGTATTTGAGCGATATTTTAGTATCAGTTATGTCACTGCACTATCCTAATTGTCTCAATCTGTAAACTGGCTTTCTATTATAGTGACAAGTAATAAAGAAGGTTGTGCACACTTCAGTATAATGCAAGCATTTAATAATAAAGCCAGACTCTAGACCCTCGTCAGAGCAAATTTTTGTCACTATAGGTAATCCAACACCTGTGTGGGCAAAAGAGTGCACCTTCATGGAAGTACACATGGGAAATATACTTCAAATCATTTGTATAGTTCTCAAGATCAAAATGCATGGGAAGTCCTAAAGAACAATGTCACCAAACATCAACAAAACAAAAGGCAAATGATAATCAAGATATCAATAAGATATATCAGAATTAAATTGTAAGTGTAAGTAATGCAAAGGCATCAGGAAAGTAGATAAGGAGACCAGTGCAAACAGTAGAGATCTGCAGTGTGAAGAATCATCTGTGCCTCTTTCCACTTTGTGATCAGAGTGACTGTTGAAGCATAAAGAACATTTTACAGGCTTTATCTCCCAGGTGTATTGTAGCCTGAGGATCCCCAGTAAGTTTTCAGCCAGGCTGCCTTGGTGAATGCACTAATGTGACACCATAATCACAGACAGGTGCATTTCTGTGCTTCACGGAGCAACAGAAGTGGGCTGTTGGTGGTGGCAGGTGCTGGCACTGGTGTGTGTCGCATGAACTGCTCATTTTATTCAAGTGTTGCATCATGTATACATTCAGTGTGTATTTAGAGTAAGAAAAGACCTCATCACTGTCATACACAAAATTAAACCATGCATGCTCCTGCGCCATTCTGGCCTTTACTGTTTAGTGCGTGGTCTTTGACAGAGGGCACTGCAGTGAGGCCAATGAAGCAGTGGGAGTCAGAGCAGAACAGACACCTCCACCTCCCTCTGCTCTGCAGTGTTACACACACTGATGGGCCACACATACACGCACACACACACACACACACAGAGATGCACTCAAAAACACAATAGGTTGCCTTCCCACCAGTCCAATAACAGGCCTATTCATTAGAGTCTCTTACAGACGGTATTGACAACCTGCTGACACACAGTCACTCCAGCATAAACAAATGGAGCAGTAGAGAAGAGCAGAGGAGGGGAGGGGAAGAGACATGTTATAGTGGCTTTTTGACTGAGGAGTCCACTCCGCAAACCAGGAAAGAGCAATACTTATAGGAAGAAGAGAAAAGTGTCCACATACACAGACCCTCATCATCTCTCTCACACATACACACACAGTAGATTCCCCCTTCAAATGAATGTCACATGAATCCTTTAACCTAGGTCACTCCTAAAATATGTGGTCTATTCTAATTACAAATATGGGGATAAGTCTTCCTCGATGAGTGCCGTGCCACATAGAGGAGCAATACTGGGTCAAATGCAGTAAACTATCTCATCATCATACAGCACTATGTCACAGCCATCCCCCCACTTGCCAGAAAAAAATATTTCCTCTGAATGGAAAAAAAATATTCTGCAAAACAACTTGGTGAAATTTGAAGCCACTGGCCCAGTGGCTAGAGAAATGTAAAGAGGGCACATTGAGTTGTAACTAAAAACATTCAATTTATCTGTGAGTTTGCAGATTGATTGAGCGAGATTTAGCCTTCACAGGTGCTCATCACTTATGGACATTTATATCTGTGTATTATTGCCAAAGGATTCAGCACTAGCCATGCATAGTTTGTTCAGCATGTTTAACTGCAGAATTCTCAGGTTGCCGCTGCATAAAAGCGTTCCAGTTATATCTTGGATATGCAAAAAAAAGCCAAACTGAACAAACTGTGCCATGCATACCAAATATCTGGCTCATTAAGGAGTTATAATTACAGTGGCACTTCGACATAAACAAAGAGAGCAGAGCAGTCATGGAGAAAATGGGGGGAAAACTGCTGATGTGTTCAAAGACGCATTCTCCGGTGTCTCTTTGAGCTGACCTGTGTAACCAGGTGAGTGTGTGCAGGCTGTTAGAGGAAGGGGGGTGGAGAGCTTGCTGAATGGAATGAGCAATAGCTATGCAGACAGGTCAACATAGAGACAGATTTTATGAAGACAGATGAGGCCAGAGTGGGCACACAAATACAAAGACAAAGAGACAGATAGACTGCATGGCCCTGCACTCAGGAGGTCAGCTCTGACTCAAACAGACAGGACGGATGAAACGTACAACGTCCAAACATGAACTGATGAACATGACCAAGGCTTCCCCAAAAAAATGTTGAGATAAAGCTAACAGAGTGGAATGTCCCAGGAATGCTTGTCAGATCGTCATCATGCAGCATTTTGGGTGACGGTGACGGGAAAGACACTTCGTATCTAAAAGCAGATTCCATACCAAGAGCTCCCTCCAGGCATCGCTGTGCTGAAAGCGTAGGAGGATTTCTTTAGACGACATGGTGGCTGATCACAATGACGACACAGTCAATCGAGAGCCTGTACGTCAACGGGAGCACGGTGATCGTGTTCTCTATTAGCTTGCCATTGTTCTCCTGCTGCCACGCTCTGCTCTCTGCCCAGATAACACACACACACACATTTTAACACAAACAGCATCAGCAGCAGCCCCATACCCCTAACTTGGTGCAGAGCCCATGTCAGGCAGAGAGCTAAGCTGACTGCCCGCGGCTTTGTAAAGAGCTCACTGTACAGCACAACCACACATCCATTGCCATTATCAGCATCAGGGCTGTCATCGCTATCACAGCGGCCAAAGACCTGTGCCACGGGCCCGGATTGCCTACGAAGCTAGTTACTATGGACCTGTGAATACAACGTCAAGGACAGAGCCACACTGGGAACGGTTGTTTGCTCAAGGTCATACAAAACAAAGGATAGAAAAAGACTAATAGCCGTACGGACACGGCTGGTAATGTGGTTTACACAGCCGCACTCCCACGTCATCCACATATCACATGTTATTATCTATTTGGTTTTAATGGTATATATATATTGCCTTTTGTCGGAGATATGTTATCACAACCTTGCAGATTTATATCAGTGGGCAGAATCAGGAAATTTGCTGATTGGAGGTCCAGATCAGCCAGCGTCAAAATTGTAAAGGTCATTACAATGACATCACCCTTTCCAGAGGAGGAAAGCCAGAAATGTCAAATCGCTCAGCGGCCACATCATAATGCAAATGGAGCAGAATGTTAAGCACTGGAAAATCTCAATGATCAGACGGAAATAATGGAAGATACCTATCTGAGTGACAATTTAATGAGGATAGGTCTGGGTAAGCTTTTTTGGCAGTTATGAAGGGGGAAGATTTTGTAGACGACGACGTGATGAAAAACACATAGATTTGGTATATCCGAGATACAGTGCATTATTACTGTTTGAACACTATTTAGTCTTCTGTAAAAAATCAGCAGTACATGCAGTCAACTGATAGTGGCAGCATTCAGTGCTCCTGCAAATGCAGCATTCATGATACTGCCTCCAGAAGCACACAGAAGTCACATTCCATGTTTTATTACTCATACCACAACTGTAGTGCTAAACAGTTAAAATAGACGCAATGTAATAACTACTATAAGCCCAAACCATTGCTCTTATAAGCAAGTCTACCTACTGTTAGTTACCGTGAGACAGCTGTGGTATGGCTGTGGTAAAATATCATTTACTGGAGCTGCAAGACAGTGCATGTCTTGCTGTTAAATGAAGTCAGGTAATTGCTCCATTTTCACCAGAGCATAAAAGTGGAAATGGAGCCAACGCCGAAACAGACAGACACAAAATGACCATATAAAACACAGAAAAGAAAAACTTGAGAGAGTGAGAAAGTTACCCATTTAACAGTCATTCTCACAGACATGAACTTTATTGTCTTACTTGGAGCATTTAGCTCACAGGAATACATATCCCTCAATGTGCACGCCTCAGACTACATGACTCCCTATAATCATTAGAGATGTCTGCTTGAAAAACATGCCTGCCGGGAGAGCAGAGGAGCAGAGCTGCGCCTGAATCAGCCCAGGCATGCGTTAAAACAAAGCGGCCTCTCCGGCAAAGAACATAGCAACTCACACACACACTTAAAACAATTGGACACACAATAACCTCACATCGTCCCACAGACAAATTAGAAGACAGAAAACTTTCACAAGCTGACACGCACTGTGTTGCTTATTAAACACACACTGTCCTATCCACAGCAGCACACCAGGATCGGTCACATCACTGGATTTACAATGGCAAGCTCCCATCCTCTGTATGTATGTGCAAGCTGACGATGTAGAACACAGAGACCACACAGAATCCCCTCTCTCAGACATGCAACTATGTGACCAGAATACTAAAGAAGAAAGTGCTGGCTGACTCAGAACAGAACAGTCCTGTATGATCACTAAAAGCTATACTGTGCTGCAAACTGAGGACTGAATCTTTTGTTTAAAAAAATGCCACTTGCTGTGATAACCTGTTTGGTCATCATTGGTTAGCAGGGTCAGAAAAGGAAATGTTATGTAGAAACTAGGTGGTGGGGTAATAAATACCTGAGAGAAATATATGCTTGAGGAATTCTGTCTTGACTATTTGTAAACATTAGCATTCCATCAGTTATCAGTAGGTTGGTATAAAGCCAACCTTTGTCACTTCACCTCTTCTCGCAGGACATGAGAATGGTGGCGCCTGGTCACGTGACCAAACAAACCATAATGATATAGTCCAGGTTCAAACACTTTGACCTTCCCTGTCATCGCTCACACCTGCCATATTTATGGCACACTATTATCGTAATTACAGGCACTAACCACGATTTAAAGGTTCATCCCAGCGGTCAGTATTGACAGATGTCTGTGTGGAATGGAAACCAAGCAGAGCACACTATTAATAAAGAGCTGCTGGCGGCCAAGTTTAAGTAGGGATTAGTGATCCAACAACATGATTGACCTCTCCAAAGTCCCATGCACCAAAAAGCGACAACTCACCCAAAATCATGATGTGCGTTGCCTTTGGTGTCCCTGGGTTGACAAGTGCTCCCTCACTGCCCCCGTCTTGCCTGCTTTCGCCAAGCGACAATGGCTCCAAAATCTCTTTTCAGAGTTCGTCTCCACTCTCCAGAAAGAGCCAGCTCAGATGGGCAGCGCTAGATGTGAGGAGAGACTGCTGCTGCTGTGCACATGCCGTCCCTTGCGCCTGCCCTCTCCAGGTAAAATGCTGAGTATGAGTATGAGTATGAGAGAGAGAGAGAGAGAGAGAGAGCACGAGGGTGTGTGTGTGTGTGTGTGTGAGAGTATGTGTGTGGTGGAGGGGGGTCCAGCGTTTCTGCAGTTGTGGCTCAGGTAAGCCTGAGGACTGTATGGAGGGGGTAAGTAGCAAAGAGAGGGAGGGAGAGAGAGAGAGAGAAAAAGGGGGGGGGAGGGGGGTCAAAGAGAGGAGGGGGAGCCTAAAGTGTGACAGACAATCATAGGGGGAGGCTACAGAGCAAAGATCTTCTTCTCCACAGCAGCCAGGAGGAATTGTAGTGGTCTCCAACAAAAAGCTGACGAGCAATGTCTTCTGATCGGGAGCTTCAGAGGGTAGGACTTCAACGCACTGTAAAGTCTGCGCTTGCTTTGGTCTCTCCTAGTAAAACGCACACACTCTCTCTCTCGCACTCTGGCTTTCTCTCCCTCTCTATGCTTCTTGTTTTTGGGGTTGGGTATAACCTAAAGGCACCTTACATGCCTCTGCTCTGATTGGTGGCAGCCTCGACCAATGGAATCAGCGGCAGACACTTGTCATCATGCAGAGTGGAAGTCATGAAGGAGAGACAGAGCTTAACTGAAAATGCCTTCTCCCTCAACCACTGTTTCTCCATTTCATTTCCCAAATTCTTCTCACCCATCTCCCCCTTACGGAGAGCATGATTGTCAAAACTGTTTATTGTGTTTTGTTCCCCCCCTCTCTGTCCTTTGACTTCATGTGTATGAGGACTTGTTAAAGGATTAACCTTTTATCTCTGTGGCTCTGTCCTTCTCCCCTTTCTCCTTCAATGTCTTAACTTGCCCAGGCAAGGTTACGCATTTTATCAACCACTGTTATTTCGTCAAAGGGATGGAATTTAGACTGGGAGTGGAGTGGGGGAGGCAAGGAGAGATGAAATAGAAAGCGACAGAGCGGATGAAACAGAAGAAGGAGGGGCAGAGATTAAACTAAATACAACTGACAGAGGGATGAAGAGACGTGGAGTGACAAGGGGAGATGACCGGGAGGATGGAATACATAGACAAAGACAGTCGGACACAGGAGAACGGCTGCAGAGAATTAAACTGTGTGGACCATAGCAATGCAGCCGCCAATTGAGGAGGAGCTTCACAGGTCCACTTCCTCCACACCAAGAAATCACTCAAACAACGTCTCCTGTCATGTCTGAGCACTATTCTCTCTCTCTCTCTCTCTGTCTACACTTTCCCCTGTGAAGAGTCAAGATAGCCAGAGTGACATTTTTGAAAATCACACAGCCACGATGTTGTTGAGAAGCTCGGCGCTTAAGAGAAGGCTTAACAAAGCTGTCAAAAAATTAATCCCCTTGGGGCGGGTATGCTTGCAAACACACAGATACAAACACGTGAGCCTGGGGCTACAGAAAATGCTGCCTGATGTTCGTATTGCCTCCTCTTGTCCTGCTCTCTCTTTCTCTTTTTCTTTTCTATCTCTAACCCCCCCCCCCCTTTCGCAGGCTCTCAGGCTGAGGCTGTGAGTCACAGGGTGTTGGAGTGAATACTAAGGAGGCTGGCTGACACCTTCAGTACCTCTCTGCACAGCAGCTCCACTGCATACATTTAAGCCATTGCATGTACAGTATACATTGGTAGACCCACACAATTTTTTACAAATTGTAAATATAAATTTGGGTAAAATACACCTGGTAGTCAGTGTATTTTATCCAAATTTATATTGCTGGTGTTATGGAACATATGGTGGCTCTTTTAACAAAGGTGCACAAGATTTAACACCTGCAGCAGTAATACAGATAAGCAGCTATACACAGAGAGTAATTGACTCACGTATGTGGGACACACATTTTAGAGTGCAAAAGGACAAACACACAGGTTAGAAAAGGAATTTGAGCCTGTGGCTCCTTGGATCAAACACACAAACACACATAGTGTCTGCAGGAAATGGACTGAGCGCCGAGGATATTAGTTTTTGAAAATGGGACACCAGCAGCTGGAACAATAGTTGTCATCAATACGGTGATGCGTGCAAGTCCTTCCATGAGCAGTGTGTCTGTGTGTGTGTGTTTGTGTGTCAGCAAAAGAGCTAAGATTGGGTTTCCTCATTAGTTGTGTTGGTATCAATAATTCAGAGCCGGTCCTTGTTGGCGTTCAATGGGCCGAGTGCTAATGTGCTGTCAGGCCAACGGGGGCCCAGGGCCCAGCACCACTTTAATGGATGTCATGATGAGAGGGGGAAATCGGAGCACAGAGATCCTGTATCATCCATAGGTAAGAAGAAGGAGAGAGGACAGGGCAGAGGAGAGGAGTGAGGACACAGGGTCGGGTTGAAGGCCACTGGGGGGAAAACAGATGGCAGGTATGGGGGCAGAGGGGTGGTGGCGAGAAACAGTAAGAAGAGAAAGGATAGAGGGAAGGAATTCAGGCTATAGGTCCCTCTGTTTGCCATTGGCTACAGATCAATCATTCTTACGATGACCTCTATCACCTTTTGGATGGAAGGGCATCATGGGGCACGTGTTGAGTGACCACTAGGGGTATATCTTTAGTGAATAAAGAACAAACATTATTTACTTTGCAATCTATGTGACTTGCTTCACTCACGAATGCCTCTTTAAATGTGAAGGGAGAAATAGAGTATATGGTAAAGCTTTATTTTACAGGTCTAAATGACAGACCTAGAAACATTTCTGTGTAATGTGCTAATTATAGGGAATGTAAGGATCCATCCGCGTCATTATTAGACTGTCATAGCACCTGAGTTAGTATAAGGAGCGAGAAAGTCTGCATAGGTTTGGAGGTTGGATGGGTCTAACAAACCCTGAACTTTCACCAAAGAGGCCGCTATTTGTGTGCTGTGTGAACCAAGTCAATGTTGGTATTATTATATTGTAGTTTTATGATTGTTTTCGTGTGAGAATGTATTGAAGAACCCAACAATGCTCGACAAATCAGACTAAAGAAAATAGAGCGGAATAAGAAGTGCTCCAACTGTGAGTAACATAATAATTGTCTATGGGAAAAATGAAAAATACTTTTACTTTTAATTCCTGTTGTTGTGTTTTCTATTCTGTTGTTGTGTTGTATCAAATATTGTTGTGATCTAAACCTCGGGGCCACCGTACACGATGATGTTGAGGTTGAGGAAGATCAGTGGATTCAAACAACAAACATGACTTTCTCACTCTGCTGCAGTCAAATGTATCCTCTGGAGGCTTATACGTATCATACGGCCTTACTTTCAGATTTAAATTTAATTCTAAACTCAACACTATTGCCAAATCTCCCTAACATAAATGGTTAACCTTGTGAGGACCAGCTTAGGTGCAGAGATTGAGGATGAGGTTCCAATATAGCATTCATATAAGCCTACACACATGGTGTGAAAGCAGCGAGAGAGAGAGAGAGAGAGAGAGAGAGATGTGATTTCAGATTTTAAAAAATCTAGTGATATCTCAAAATTAAAAGTCCTCCTAGGAGAAGGAGAGAGGGCAGACCTTGCTGCCCAGTATGTACTAACATGCCACAACCTGAGGGACAGTAGTTGACGCTTTGGCGATGCCGTTCCTGGGCGTTCATGCCAATGGAGCAGATCTGAGTTTGGGTTGAATTGGGAGAGAGACGGAGAGGGAGAGAGATCTATCTATCCGTGGATCTCTCTCTCTCACTTCGCTCCTCCCTTTGCTTCGATGTCGGAGAGCTGCGGTGGCCTACAGGTAACGTGGGAGCACTGGGGGCTCTGTCTCAGACCACTTTTGAGATGTTGTATTGATATTATTGTTATATTGACATTGTTGTGTATTGATGTTATTGTATGTTAAATTGTTTTGATGCTTTGCCAATACTGTTTTTTAAACTTTCATGCCAATAAAGCAAAATTTGAATTGAATTGAATTGAATTGAATTGAATTGAGAGAGAGAGAGAGAGAGAGAGAGAGAGAGAGAGAGAGAGAGAGAGAGAGAGAGAGAGAGAGAGAGAACTTGATATTCTGGACACCACTGCTGAGTCTGGATGGTGATTGTTAGTTAACTTATGCTGCTCTCTACTGGTGTAAATCTGTAAACACAGGACTCTGGTAATCTGTCTAAATATTCCATCTTTAGCTACCCTACCAATAGACAGCAGTCTGGAGAAGTGAAAACCGTGCCACGTAAACTGAGAGGCTAATATGTTCCCAGAGTCATATGAACACACACAGTTAAATAAGGGAATCAAACAGACATGAGGCACAGCTGGTAGTATTGATGGACTGTCAGACTGAATCAGAGATACCTTACTCATGCAGACACCTATCTGTACAACAGACATGACAAAGCTGCTGAGGCCAGCATCCTTACTGGAACTGTTTTTATGAGCAGAATGGTGAATTAGGCGAAGTGCACAGATCCTGAGTGTAGCAGGTCAAATGTGACAGGAACGACTGCTAAGTATGAAGGACTAAATACTGTGCTGTGACAGCCTGTGAGAGATTTATCAAACCTGAGAGAGAGCGACATCAAATGCCTTCATTCATAAAATGCTGTGATCCATCGTTCTCATTCTTTCCTTCCTGCAAAGGAAAAATAGTAAATCTACACTCACTGAAATCTGCCAGACAGACTGTAATTCACTTCCTCACAACAGCTCAAAAACAGTATCAAAATGCAACTTCTGTTAATCATAAATTCCAGTCATATTTTACGACTCTGGGCCCGCAGGCAGTATGTGACTTCCAAGAAACGTTGGTTCATCCTTTTTCTTCTTCTAGAGTTTGTTTGCATGGTGTCATGAAGAGGATTTCTGTCGATACAGAGTCCGCTCCTTGGTCATATATCATGCGTTGGGTGTCTCCTGGCCCTGTGGTGGTGAATTTAGAGGCTGCCTGTGAATGTCAAAGGTGAGGGGGTGAGGCAAGCCCCGGGTACCAGCATACATGCACGCCCGTCATAATGTGGCAAAGCATAAAGCAACCAGACAATAAATGACATTATTAGACTATGAAGTCTAATAAAAGGAATTATCTCTCTATATCTACTAAATAATGTCGTGGCACACAATCTATTCAATGGCTTCATTCAGAGCATGCATAGCACACACAACAAGCCTGCTTAGTATATGAACAAAAGGACCTCTGCATTCCCCTTGAAGTGGCCTGAGTCTGCAAGTCTGACAGTTAAGCATATCAGTTTGCAACTGTGAGGGATAATCATCTCACTAAATTTAGACTATTGGTCAGGTGTTGACATATGCAGGAAATGTTTCCAGCTGATTGTTTATTAAGGTGTTATCAGATACGCAATAATTCGATGATTAACTGATTAGTCGATCAAAAGTATATTTATCTATTTTGATAATCAATATTTAATTTAAGTTTTTTCTCAAGCACAAATGCTAAACATTTGTTGTTTTCCGGCTCTCCAATGTGAGAATTTGCATTTTAGTAAATTTAATTTTTTTTCAAATGTAGGTCGGTCAAAACATT